TCCCTGTTTTATCTAAGAACAGTTCTCCTCAACTCACCTAGGTCCCCTTCTCAAGGCAGCTCTGCTTGCCCTTCGCCCAGCTCCTGTTCACCTCTGTTATTTTCTCACTGCATCTTTATTTAAAGCTCTCATTTAATTATAACCCAGGTTTTCTCTCAATTATTTTAGGGCCCAAAGCAATCTGGCATCTTTCTCTTTCTTACAGCGTGACCCTATTTGGTTCCCTTCATGCCTCAGTTTGTTTATAGGTCACATGACGTTTGAGGTGAGAATCTGTTGCTTTTCAAGCTCTTTCATCCTTAAATGATGAGCAGTCTATGCAGACCTGGTCCCCACCAACCCCCAAAACACACAGCCCCGGAACAAGGTGAGTGGATTCTTCTAGGAGCTCCTCACTTTTCATTTGGATGAATTTCAAGCAGGAGCACTTACAGCTAGTCCACCGAGGGCAGCCGAAACATGGGGAGCGTCTTCCTGTTCTCACGAAGCCTGCTCCCAGCTGGAGGGAGCTTAGCCTCTTTTCTGGGACAGGGTGGCCCTCCTGCGTCCTTGGCCCAGGTTTGCTGCCCATCTGGCATTTTAATGGCCCTCCTCCGTAGTTTCCAGTGCTGAAGCAGTTTTCCCTATTTTTATATTTCCTGGTCCTCCCCCGCCTACACCGCCCCCCAAAACAAGGGAATCAAATCTGGGTCATCTTCTAGCAAAAGCTTTGAAGGGCATTTTTAATATATCATGACTTTCTTTTTAAAGTAGGAATTCTGAACACTACCTATTATTTCCACTTTGTGCTAGTTTCATCTCAAGAACAGAGAAGATTGAACTGGTTAGATAATAGCCTCTACATTGTAAAGTTTCTACCTTTTATAAGTAATTACTACCAAATTCCACCTGCTCTGATCATTCTCCTCATCTCAAACTCATTTACTTTCCTACATCAAAATCCAGCTATAATAACCAAGGTCTGCCAATGATACCCTTGCTGCTGAAGCAAATTAAAGAGCAAAGATTGACAAGGTTTTTCTACTGTCTTATCCTGGAAGAGCTGAAGCCTCGACTGGAGTTGTTCTTAAATTCCTTGCCTCTTGTTAAGACACGGAAGATCCAGAAAAACTTTCATCTAAGTTCTACTCCATCTACCCATCTGCCCCAGCCCAAACCTGTTTCGGAGCACCTTTCCACATGACTACCTCCAAGGAGAACAGTGCTCTTTGAAGAGCCCAAAAACATGTGTTTGTTGAATTGCATGGTTTAAAAAAAATCGGACAGACCTGGATTCAAACAGCCCAATTCTACCAACCTTGTGATCTTGGACTAGTTATTGAAATATCCGCATCAGTTTCCTAATCTTTAAGACAGATGTAATAATCTCTGCCCAGATTTGCCGTAAGGAAAACATGTACAGTAGTTAACACAATGCCTGGCACTTAGCAAACCCACAAAAATTTGATAATGAATATAATGTTTCAGGAGTAAATTGCTCACTAAGTCTTCATTTAATTTGGGATTCACCTGGGCTCTGGAGGTTCCTGCCAGCATGCCCCCACATGCTCTCCTTGAGGTAGCTGACATTCACAAAAGCATTCAAGAGTTCCATTGTTTTCAATATCTTCTCTTTCCTCAAAGCTTCTGGATTGAAGGCAATTTCCTGTGTCTCCTGGTGGCCTGGGCCTCCCTGAGTCCTTGGAGTGCTACCTGTCTATGACACACATACCCCTTTCTCCTCTAGGGACAGCAACAGGTTCTTGCCTGCAGAATCCACAGTGGTTCATACCTCATATACTGAATGGGACTAGTCCTCCTCTATGGTTGCATATCCAACTGCCTAGGTTTAAGTCCCAGTTCTGCCATTTATTACCTCGAGCAAGGAGCTGGACTTCTCTGAGTCTCCATTTCCACCAAATAGGGGGAACAATACTTACTTCATACAAATACTACAAGGATTCAATGACATACACCATATCAAGAGCTAAAACAGTGTTTGGTACCCGGTAAAAGACCCACCTTTCTTAAAAAAAAATTTAAAAAAATATATTTTATTGATTTTTTTACAGAGAGGAAGGGAGAGGGATAGAAAGTTAGAAACATCGACGAGAGAAACATCAATCAGCTGCCTCCTGCACAACTCCCACTGGGGATGTGCCCGCAACCAAGGTACATGCCCTTGACCAGAGTCAAACCTGGGACCCTTCAGTACCCAGGCCAATGCTCTATCCACTGAGCCAAACCAATTAGGGCAAAAGACCCACTTTTTATCAGCTATTATTATTAGTGTTACCTGGCCATAGTAAATAGACCAAGGGTTGCCCTAACCAGTTTGCGGGCACATCCCCAGTGGGGAGTGTAGAGAGCAGTGTTACCTGGCCATAGCAAATAGACCAAGGGTTGCCCTAACCAGTTTGGCTCAGTGGATAGAGCGTTGGCCTGGGTACTGAAGGGTCCCAGGTTTGACTCTGGTCAAGGGCATGTACCTTGGTTGCGGGCACATCCCCAGTGGGGAGTGTAGAGAGGACAGTTGATCGATGTTTCTCTCTCATTGATGTCTCTAACTCTCTATCCCTCTCCCTTCCTCTTTGTAAAAATTCAATGAAATATATTTTTTAAAAAAATAGACCAAGGGTTGGTGCCAGGGCAGCCACTAGTGGGCTGGGTACCAAAGAAGCAACTGCCTGTTTGGGTTTGATATTGATTTTACCCAACAGGGTACACACTGTGCCAAGCTGTTTCACACAGATCATATCAAAATTCTCTGTGGGGAAATAAAAATGCAAGGCAGGTCCCTTCACCTCCAAGTGATTCGGAAGACACTCCATGGTTCTCTGGGGTGGCCACACCATGGCCCCAATGTCAAGAAACCTAGAATCCAGAGGTGCTTATATAATGATGCCTCACGCCACCCTCAAGCCCCAGGTTTTTCTGAAAGAAACTTGTGCTCTTATACATTATCGGTGAGGATTATTTTTCTTAACATATCCCAGCCAGACCAATATGCACTGAAATATAAGAGGGGGTTCACCAATTAAGGACTGTGTTACTGGCAAAAGAGAAGAAAGAAGCTGCAGTTCTACTCACCTGGGCATCCTGCCTCATGAGATCATCATCCAGGAAATTGCTCTCATCCCTGCCACCCTGAGGATGGGAAAAACAAACGAAAGAGAAGGAGAGGGTAGTCACGAAGATTTGGAGAAGACAGAATATCTGGGAACCCAATGACACGATAACAAGGCAGAATGCCACCAGGGGTCACACTCCCAGCCTAGGGAGAAAGGACGGACATACTCTGAGGGTGCCTGCGCTTTTCCTATGGCTCTGATCAGAGCCGAGAGAACATTACTAGAGGGAGAGCCCTGCTGCACCATCTCTGCAACATTAGAAAGGGAAGGGGAATGAGTGCTGCCTGCTGACTGCTCACTCCATGACTACCTCCCTCTGCCCCCCAGTCCTGCCTCTTTCCAGCGGATTCAAGACTTTGGATCTGGAAAGCCTACACTGATGGAATTCTGCCAGATGGGTTGGAACAGAGAATCAAGAATGTCTGGGACCAGCCAGCAATGGGGGCTGAAGGAGCACATGAAAACATGCCCCTTTGACATCACCAGGGCACCAGGGCAGGAGGAATGCAAAAGAGTGGCAAAACAGGCTACTTTCCTCTGGTTTTTCAGACTATATTTATTGCTATGCTGTCTCAATATTCTATGGTCTAGGCATGGTGCAGCAGAACCTATCTATAAATATAAAAAGCCAGCAACCAGAACGCCATAACGACCTGAACAACTGGTCGCTATGGCGCCGGCCTACTGCGGCCAGCAAACCGCCCAATCGGGGTGGGGCCAGCCGGCAACCTCCTGCAGCCCCCTCCCCCCGGTTGGCCCTGCCCCTGATCGCCCCTCCTACCCCAACCTCCTGCAGCCCCACTCCCGATTGACCCCCACCACCCTGATTGGCCTGTGGCCCCTCCCCCCAGCCAGCTCCACCCCATGCCCCCAATTGGCCCCTCCCACCCCAATCTCCTGCCATCTCCTCCTACCCCCAACAGGCCCGGCCCTGATCCGCCCCAACTGGTGGCCAGGCCAGCCGGACCCCACCTGTGCACGAATTTGTGCACTGGGCCTCTAGTGGTAAATAAGGAGGAAAAGGGGGAAAATGGGTAAGAAGTAAGAAATGCCAGCTGCATTTCTTCTAAGTAAATATCAGAGGCAGAGCAGGATGGGAGCTGGCAATGATTTCCAGGGTTTTGCTTTGAACAACAACAATATTAACAAAAAAAGACAAGTCAGGAAGAACTAATGTGGAGGCAAAATGAGTTTAGTTTAGGAGGACCAATTTGAGGTGATGGCAGAATATCTATAAGGAAACCTCTAAAAAGCAGCGAGAAATGAATTTCACACTTAGGAAGGAGGTCAGGGATAAAGATATAATTGGGAAGTCATGTGAACTATCTCATGTATCATCTCTTTTCTGGCACCCGTGCTCCCACACTAGCCCTGAACTGCTTTATTTCTCATATAGACTATTGAGGCGACTTTCTACCTCGTCTTCCAGCCTCCAGTTCATTGCCATGACAATTAATCTTACCCACGACTATTACATTACTCTTATAAAAATGCAGTTCTAACCGCATCATTCTACTGCTCCCAACCCTTCAGTGGCTCCCTACTGCTCTCCAAAGAAAGTGTAACTCTTCCCAACATAGAATCCCAGTTCATCCTTCCATCTTGTTAATAGAATTACCAGCCTGGCTGCTCAGTCTGTTGTTCCCAGGTCACACCCCGTGTTTCCTGCCTCCTTGCCTTCTTCTTGCTTTTTTCTTGTCTGGAATGTACCCAGCCACACCTCTGCTTCTTGCCATCCTAGCAAGACTCCAAGTCCTCTCTGAACCTGCACCTCTGCTGTGAAGCCTTTTGTTTGCTTCTGTAGCCAAAATTCTCCTCGAACCTTCCTTTTACTCTGTGTCTCTCCTTAGAAACTTATGCTTCAAGCCTTTATAGCAACTGTGTGCCTGATATATTCCCTATGACAATACTGGAGGTCCAGTGCATGAATTCGTGCCCGGGTGGGGTCTGGCCGGCCCGCCGCGATCAGGGCTGATTGGGCCAGGCTGGCCGGGCTGAGGGGCCAACCGTCCCCTGGTAGAACTCCTGGTTGAACTCCGGTCGAGGGGACAATTGCATGTTAGCCTTTTATTATATGGGATACTCCTAGAGCCCAGGAACTGCCTGTTCATCATCCTCATAACTCTCAATGCATGAAGTCATAAGGCGACCCGGCCGATATTAGGTACTTGTACATACGAATTAGAACCAATGGATGTACATGGCCAGTCAGAGTTTCTAAAGGAGAGAAGATAAAACACCACAGAGGCCCAAGAATGTGCACATTTGGGAAGCTGAAAGGACGAGCCAGCCTGGAAACGGGAATACAGGAAGCATGCCTATAAGCTGAACCCCTATCAGAAGCAGCCAGCAGAGGGCGCCACTCACCGCGGACAGAGACACCAGGACCCGCTGGAACATGAAGGACGTGTCAGAGCGAATGTCATCTTCCAGGCTCCTCCCGTATTCTAGCGAGAAAGTAAGATTGGCCACATCAGGACAGAGCCCTGTTCGGCGCCGTGCCACACTCCAGAGCCTTCTGTCCCCTCCGGGAGCAGCCTGTTTACCCGGGCAGCTCCTCATGAGGTTTTTCACTTCACGCACAGTTTCTCAAAAACAACTCTGGTAAAATGGTCACCATAAGTGCAGCTTGTCATAGCGGAAACAAGACGTTCTTGTTCCTTACAGTCGGAGGTGGAGAAGGCTGGGCCGTAATCCTCACTGCTCCTACTCTAAACATCGTTTTCAGTGACGGAGAGAACAGTAACCATTGACAAACAAATACAGTGGGGTTTCAGAACCACGTTTGGGAACACGCTGGGGGTTGTCAAGTCCCAGTTCTAGCACGTGCCTTTTCGGCCATGCCACTCAGTTAAGCTCCAACCCTTACAGCCCTCCAGCCGCCCTTCTCACGGGGGAGAGACCTGCCTTCGGCAGACGTGGCATCCAGTGTAGAACCAAACTCCCAAGGTTTAGAACAGCCTTCTCTAAATACTTACCAAAAAAACATTATTTTTTTTGTTTTCTTTCTACCAAAGTAGTACATATTTACTACAGAAAACTTAGGAAAAAGTAAATAAGGAAAATGCAGGGGTGGGTGAGGGGATTATAAACAAAAAAAAACCTCACCATAATCTAATCACCCAAAAATAATTATTGATCACATTTTGGTGCATATCCTTCCTTAGTTTTACCCCACATACCCATATTATTGTTCCTTCTATTAGAAAGATGGGATCATGTCATACTATTTTACGATTTGTAGTTTTCACTTATCCATATACCATACTATTTAATGTAACTTAATAATATCCCACAATATACATTTGATGACTACGTAATAGTCTGCTGTGTGGGTGTACCATATTTTATTTAGCTAATCTGCTAAACTGTTGGACATTTTTAGCTAATATAACGAATACTGAATAAACACTATGAGATCTAAACCTTTGTGCATTCTTTATTATATTCTTAGGGGAAAAAGGCAGGCATCATTTCATGCTCTTTATATGTACCAGCCTCTGGAGGGAATAATGGCTATCTTCCTGAGATGGCTGGAGGACATACAGTCCAGTCTGAATGAAGGTAAGGAGTTGGGCGAGAGAGCCCCTCCAGGCCATTCCCTGGAATGCTAAGATTCACTGGTGCCACCACTTTTGAACAAGCACCTTCGATTCTCTGAAGATAAGGAACAGCTTTCCAGCTTTCAGAGTAATGAATGGTGGTAGGTCCCTTAGGCACTGGGTAGCCGACTAGAGTAACAAATTCCCCTGAGAAGCCATGGGAAGCCAACAGACAATCGTTTGTCTGGACAGGGATCTGCCTTGACCTGGAGCTTAGAAGTGAGGCTCCCTGTAGTGTTGGTTCTATGAAGAAAGTCTGATCCGTGGGAAACCTGCCACTGCTAGTCTAGTTCTCAGATCACCATGAAACCTCAGCCAGGGCCACTGAGGAGCTACATACGCAGCTGGTAGGTCTCGTTGATGCGCCGGATCTCCTCAGGTGTCCGGGAGGCCAGGATCTCGATCAGGCAGCCCTCATCCGTGCCAGCCCCCTGCATGGGAAACCCAGAGGAGAGGGCTTTGTGAGTCAGTTCACCAAGTCCAGTCCCAGAGAGAGAAGGAATAGAAGCAGGAATCTGCAGAGAATAAAGACTACCCACAGGGTTCTGGCGACAGGATTTTCTCCTTTTTAGTTGTCCTGCTCACATTCCAATGCATTCACAGTGATCACTGCTAGTGAAACAAACATGTACGGGGTGTTTCTATGTGTTGGTTACTGAGCCAGGTTAGGCACGGTTTCTGCTCTCCAGGGGCTTACTCTTCCCTAGATCGGGCTGTGCTTTCCCTTGAAAGGCAGAGTCTTCAGGCAAAGGCTGTTATGTCCTTGTTTTTCAAGAACCATCCATGAGACTAAATATTTATTGACGCGGTTGAGGAGAGTACTTGGATTTGAAGGTTAAACTTGGTCGTTAAAAATCAGCAGAGCCCTGGGCTGAAGCACGATGGCTTGGCATCCAGGGAGGCTGAGAACGCCTTTCTGCCAGTTCTGAGCCTGCAGCAGACCCGGAGGCCCCCAAGGTGTCAGTTGCAAAGTTTCATGTCTCAAACGTAGCTAACACGGCAAGAAAGCTTCTGGAGCGACACCAAAAGCACCATAACCACTCCCTACGGAGCCACAGGAAAGAGAGTAATTCCATACCTTTTGGGAAAACAACTTTTTTAAAAAAAATATTTTTTTAAAAATTGATTTCAGAGAGAAAGGGAGGGGGAAAGAGAGACAGAAACATCAATGATGAGAGAGGATCATCGATTGGCTGCCTCTCGCACCCCCCCCAAATGGGGATCCAGCCCACAACCCGGGCATGTGCCCTGACCAGGAATCAAACCGTGGCCTGCTGGCTTATACGTCCACGCTCAACCATGAAGCCCCATCAGCCGGGCTGGAAAACAACTTTTAAATTACAATCACTCTAGTGTAATGCCATTGTTTTTAAGTTGTCATGAAGGAAGGAAAATCTTTCTCCTGGGCCTCAGCCCCTCTCCTCCCCTCTCAGAGGGCCTTTGTCAGGGTTTCAGGAGAAAGCTCGTAGCATGTGCACCAGCAGCGTGGGGAGCGCGAGAGGAGAAACGCACAGACCTTCATAGCCCTTCGCAGCTCCTCCACATCGTACAGCACGGTGGGCGTCATCATCCCCACGATCACACGCTCAAACTTGCCAGTCAGTTCGGACTTCAAGTCATCTATCAGGTCCTGCAACGCAAGAAAGCAGCTTGCTCAACTGCGACGGGAACTCAAACTAGTCGTACTCCCAGTGTGGTCCCTGGGTCTTCGCAACCCTTTCAGGGGACCTGCAAGGCCAAAGCTATCTTCTTAATAACACTAAGACATCACCTGCCTCCTCACTGTCCTTCTCTCACAATTGTAGAGTGGAGTTTTCCAAAGACTATTTGATATATCAACAAATCTACAAGTATGCTAAAAGGCTATGAAGATACTCCTCCCTTTTGCAACTACATATCTGTACAAAACCAGGTTTTCTTCATATACTTCAACCAAAACCACACAATAGCAAACAAACAATGAAGAAGCAGATATGAGACTCTAGCTGTCTTCCAATACGCCAGGCAACACAGAACTTTGAAAAATGCTGTAAAACAATGCCAATCTTCTCACTAAAATTCTTTTTTTGGAATATGTAGCCATTTCTCATGAAAATGTTATTTGTATTAACATGTGATGGCTTTATAATTTTCTTAATATATTCACAACAAATACATATTTTTAAATGTCCTAAATTTTAATTTCTAATATGGTAAATATCAATAGATATAACCCATAAAAACAAAATGTTCTAAATAATTTAAGAGTATAAAGGTGTCCCGAGATCAAAAAGTTTATAGACACTAATGTAAATGTATTTGTACACAAAACAATATATGTATTTCCAGTCAATATTCACTTATAATATTTTTTTTCAATTACAGTTTACATTCAATATTATTCTGTATTAGTTTCAGATATAAAGTATAGTGGTTAGAAATCATGTACTTTATAGAGTGGTCCCCCTGATATTTCAAGTACCCACCTTGCCCCATGCATAGTTATTACGATATTATTGACTATATTCCCTATGCTGTACTTTATTTTTAAATTAAATTAAAATTTTTAAATTCTCACCCGAGGATATTTTTCCATTGATTTTTAGAGAGAGGGAAAGACAGAGAGAAATATTGATGTGAGAGAAATACAGCTATTGGCTGCCTCCTGCATGATCCCCGACCAGGGCCCAGGCCAGGGAGGAGCCTGCAACTGAGGTACATGCCTCTGACCAGAATTGAACCCGGGACCCTTCAGCCCAAAGGCTGATCCTCTAGCCACTGAGTCAAACTGCCTAGGGCCCTATGCTGTACTTTACATCCTCATGACTATTTTGTGACTACCATGTGTACTTCTTTTTAAAAATATATATTTTATTGATTTTTTACAGTGAGGAAGGGAGCGGGATAGAGAGTTAGAAACATTGATGAGAGAGAAACATCCATCAGCTGCCTCCTGCACACCCCCTCCTAAGGATGCACCTGCAACCAAGGTACATGCCCTTGACTGGAATTGAACCCGGGATCCTTCAGTCCGCAGGCCGATGCTCTATCCACTGAGCCAAACCAGTTAGGGCTCAATGTGTACTTCTTAATCCCTTCTCTTTTTTCACCCAATCCCCCAATCACCCTCCCCTCTGTCAACTGTCATTTTGTTCTCTGTATCTGACATTTTTAATAGCTGCAGAAATGTCTATATATAAATGCAATATAATTTCTTTAACCAGTCCCCTGTTTCTCTCTTTCTAATGTTGTAGACACAGGCATTTAGTTATATCTTTTTGTTCATTCATAATTATTTCTTACAGCTCAATTCCTAAAAAGAACTGTAATTATTTGAACAAAGTACCAAATTCTAAAAACATTTATTCACATTTCCAGGTTGGGAGAGTTTAAGAACCAGCTTAAGATCAACCAACCAGTAAGGAGCCAAGCTCCTAGTTAAGTCAAGTTCTCTGGTCCTCACAAACCTGATTCCACAGCACAATATTTCAATCTATTGTGATTGCGACTGTGACCTACCCTGCCGATGGTGGTTTTGTAGGCCGTCCTGATTTCCTGGCGCTGGGCCGTGTTGCGGTAGGCGAGCACACTGATGATGGCATCCTCGTCGGTGCCTGGCGGTGCAGCGAAGACAGTGAGTGTGATTTGAGAGAGGAATGAGAAAACGAGTTCCTCTGTGGAAACTGAAGTCACCCAAACTCATGCAGAGAGCTTTCTAAGAAAAGAGGTTTGTTTGTTTTGGGGGAACACAGACACTAGGCTTAGCCTCTCTAATTAACGATATGCCAGCCAACAAAATAGTTCACTTCTTCGAGCTTTAGTTTCCTTACCTATAAATGTGAGTGATCTCAAGGTCACGACAAGTGTTACCTAGAGCAATTAAGTGAATTACTTAGCACAGCGATTTGCCCGTGTGATGCAAGAATTTTTAAAACATGCAATACTTGACTATTTAAAAGGCACTGACCTCTTTTCCCTTAGATTGCCAAGGAAGAAAATGACAACAGCCAACACAACAATGCTTGCTGGGTGTGAATGCCCCATTTGAACCATAAATATATAGGTCATATAACACAATTGCATCTTATTATTCATGTCACATATTAAGGTTGCATCTGATTGGTTAATTCTTGGTACCAGAAATCCTTATATACAAGTATAGGCACCTGATTTTTTAAAAAGTCACTTTGGAGCAAAAGGGGTACGTAATTACTATTATTATTTTTTGCAAGTCAATCAAAATTATACCTAAATTTTTGTCAGAATCTTAGCTATTAGTTTGTGTGTGCAATGAGATGAAAAAGGTTGAAAATCGCTGACTTAGCCCTTAGTCAATAAATGTTTATTGGGAGCATGCTTTTTCCTTTTCTCTGGAATTGTTATACTGCCTTTTGGGTCTCCTGCATCTATTTCCATGTTCTTACCTTTTCTCTCCTCATTTTTAATCTCTTTATAATTTTCTCTGAGTTTCAAAACAATTCAAATCTGTCTTTTAATTCACTGATTTGGCACTTTGGCTGCTCACTGCATCTACTGCATTTTAATATAAGTAATTGTGTTTTTCATTTCCAAGTCGTCTTTCCTGATCTCAGATGGTTCCTTTTTTTTTTTTTTGATGGTTCCTTTTTTATAATTGCCCATAAATTTCCATGATGCACTACCCTACCAAAACTTCCCAATATGAATTACAAGTTAGAAATGCCCTAAGTTGTGTTTGCCTGCTTTTTTTGCAGCAACTTTTTGACAGGGTCATTTATTCTGATTTTTCAAATTGGTCCCTCGTCTTAGCAATAGCTGCATGTTCACATATGCTTCGTGAGTTTTCTGTTTCCTCATTGTTTGTACTGTGTGGGAGTTGTTACGGGCTACAGAAGATTCTATTGAAACATTTCAGAGAGAAATGAAAAACTATAAATTCACCATGGTTATTCTTTGCAAGATCAGAGATCCAGAAAAATGTGAGGTGTAGGCAAGAAACTACAAGTCTTTAAATTTACATACCTTAGGCATCCACTTCTCGTCTCTCTCTCTCAGGGGGTAATAGATACAACCATTATTTACTCTTTTAGAAATCTCACGTAGGGAGAAAAGGCTCATCACCTTTTGATTACCCCACATTTTCTGTGATAGGCACCATCCTTCTTCCAGTCAAGTCTGAACCCTCAAAATAGCTTCGACTTTTTTTTTTTTTACCCTCGTTCTTCCTCCACATTCAAATTTCCTGCCAAGTCATGCAAAATCTAGCTCTGGGATCTTTTTTGCATCTGGTCCCTCTTTTGAATTCCTACCACTATCACTCCCATTCAGGATTTTAGGGGGCTTTTTCTTAAACGACTGCAAACGACTGCAAAAGTCTGCTAACCCGTATGCTTACCTACCAATCAGTCTTTCTAAAGTTTTGCCAGATTCATTTTCCTAGAAAGAAAAGCTCTCACAGTGTCCCCTCTCCTAACCAGGTGTACACAATGGCTCCCCTCTGTTTGCTGGCTTCACTGCAGGCATTTGAGACTCTGGACAGCATCCTATTCACTAGTGTGAAGAGAGATCCCTATAAAAGGATACCAGGCAGCCAAACCCACAGACGAAGCTCTTGAATGATTGTACTTGACCCCCCTGTGCTGTACTCCATGCTCCTGCCCTCCTTCACCACCAGGCTATTGGTTTGTCTCCCTAAGCCTCTCCAGTTGGCATCACGATTCTGGCACTGGTTGTTTCCTGGCCAATGCCTTTGGGCCATCCCCTCCCCCCCATGTCTGTGGCCCCACAGGAGGCCTTTTCAGCAGCACTCTAAGACTGCCCTTTGCTCCCTGCCTTCTCGAATAGTTCCCAGACAGCCAACTCCTGCTTTGCAAGTACTGCCTGCTACAAGCGACCTTTCCACGTATTTACTGTGACTTGCCTAGGCCTCAGCTAAACTGGAGAACGGGACGATCCTCACACTCATCCCATGTCTTTGTTCACACTATTCCATTCACCTGAAATGCATTCTCTGTTAGCGCTACTTATTAAAACTCAATCTGTTTCCCTAGGCCCACCTCAAAGTCTACATTCTCCATGAAGTTTAGCCTGATGTCCCCAAATGCAGTGTGGGGGTTCCCATCTCCTCTCTGAACCCTAATAGGATCCTATTTGTGCCCCTCCTGTCGCTATCATATTATGAACTGGTCACAGCTATTTCTGCATTTGCCTTAGCCACCTCGCATCCATGGACTAGTTGACCACAAGGACTAGGTTTTATAACCCTTGTCTCCTCCAACCGCCCAACTTCCAACGGCCCACACGCAGCAGCACTGAAAGCATTGGCTCTGTCAAATGTCTCCTGACACTGATGTGACAATTCTGAATGCCATGTGGTCCAAGTTCTGAAATTCTGGTGTTCTTGACATATACCAAAGAACCAGGGCAAACCTGAGAAAAAGAGTGGGCCAGGTACATTTTCCTATTTTTAAAAATGAAAAATAGACAATGAGGAGATAAATACATGGACTTAGAACAATGATCTGTTCAGAGCTGGGCATTATAGCAGAGTGGCTCAAACTCCAGCTCTGCAGTCAGACTATCTGCAATTGCCTAGAATCCTGACTTTAACACTGACTACTTCTGAAACTTTGGGCAAGTTAGCAAACCTCCCTAAATATCAACTTTCTTTTCTTTTTTAAAATATTTTTTATTTGCCGAAACCGGTTTGGCTCAGTGGATAGAGCGTCGGCCTGCGGACTGAAAGGTCCCAGGTTCGATTCCGGCCAAGGGCATGTACCTGGGTTGCGGGCACATCCCCAGTGGGAGATGTGCAGGAGGCAGCTGGTCGATGTTTCTCTCTCGTCGATGTTTCTAACTCTCTATCTCTCTCCCTTCCTCTCTCAGTAAAAGTGCTATCAGGATTAAAACAGGTAATCCATGTAATCCATTGTGCCTGACACATAGTAGGGCTTACCAATTGTTCATTATAATTGTTATTGCTGCTGCTGCTATTAGCAGCATTGGGGCTAAGTAAAATGATTTCTTCTTAGATAGAAAAACTGAGGACTGAGGCCTCATGGCCAAGATTTTTACCTAAATCTCAGGGAAATTCTAAATAGCAGCTACAACCAGGGAGCACTTCTCTGGCCAAATGTCCACCCAGGCAAGGACCTGGGCCAGGGTAGCCTGCAGTGCACCTGGCATGAAGCCTTGGCCTCAGGGAGCCTAAGTGGAGGTAGTGCACGGGACGGCAAGCCCTCCGAGTCGTGTACACACAGTCTTGTCACATAAAGTCCCATACACTGCACGCAGGTCCTGGGCAGCTGTGCCTATCACAGCAACAGGCAGAGGGCTCAAGGGAAAGAATGTGACCTTAGCGTGGGCAAGCCAAGCTTGGCACTGGCTCTGCTGAGTGTAAGTCCTGGCTCAGTTCTATTTACTACGTGTCCTACTATGTTACTTAACTTCTCTGGGCTCAGTTTCACACTTGTAAAATGAGAGGTTGGCACTGCGTCTGCTGAGTGTGAGTCCTGGCTCAGTTCTATTTACTACGTGTCCCGTGTCCTACTATGTTACTTAGCTTCTCTGGGCTCAGTTTCACACTTGTAAAATGGGGCAAAAGTAACAGTAGCAATAGCTGCTTTCACGAAACCACAGGGTCACTGTACATACCCACTGAGATAGTATTTGTGAAAGTGCTTTATGAACCTTATGGCGCTACACACATCTAGCATTAACTGGAGAACGAATACATTTCTAAATATTTA